TATATATAAAGTAACCATATAACAGGAGATACATCTCATCCAAAAGGAAGTTCATAAACTGAAAATGAAGTAACTGAAAATGACACCACAATCAACCAAAGCCTGAAAACATCAGGGGTAGCTATCTTATTTTTAGAGACAGCAATATATAAGCAAAAACTGACTGGAAGAGACAAAGATGGCCATAACATACTGGTAGAGGGAACAATTCAACAGGAAAATATAACAATATAAATAGCTATGTACCTAATGTTGGCATACTCAACTTCATCTAATGAAAACTACTGGACTTAAAAGAAAATATAGCCACCAATACAATCACAGTGGGAGACTTCAATATCCCACTCTTGCAATTAGTTAAATCACACACACACAAAAATCAACAAAGAAATATCAAAGTTAAACCCCACCATTGAACAAATGAGCTTAGCAGATATCTGTGACTGTTTCATCCAAAAACAGAATGCACATTTTTCTCAACAGCACATGGGACTTTTTCCAAAACTGACCATATCTTAGGCCATAAAGCATACTTAAATGAATAGAAAAGAATTGAAATAATTCCCTGCATACTATTCAATCATATCAGAATGACGCTAGAAATCAACAGCAAAAGAAGCCACAGAAATTATGCAAACACATGGAGATCATTGAATAATCAATAGATCACAGAAGAAATCAGGGAATAAAATAAAAATATTCCTAGAATATTCCTGGAAGCGTAACATAGTAAAACCTATGGGACACAACGAAAGCATTTTGTTCTGTTTTGTTTTTTGGGTACCAGGGATTGAACTCAGGACCTTGACCTTTCGAGGCAGATGGTGGAACCACTACCCAAATCCCCAACAAAAGCATTTTTAAAAGTGAAGTTAATAGCTGCAAATGTACACATAAAAAGACTAGAGTAATCCCAAATAACTTAATGATGCACCTCAAGGTCCTAGAAAGACAAGAATAAGCCAAATCTGAAACTAATAGAAGGAATGAAATTACAAAGATCAGATTGGAAATTAATAAAATTGAAACTAAAAAAAAATACAAAAAGTCAATGAATTAAAGAGTTCATTAAAAGGATAGGAAAGGGCTCTAGGGATGGGATGAGAGATAAGAGGGAGGGGAAGGGAAGGAGAAGTAAAAAGGATCAAGACGCTTTATATATTTATGTACCAATTCCTTAATGATGAATGCATTTACTATGTTTTGCAAACATATACTAATAACAAAATTGAGGGGAAAAAAAGAGATGGCTACTATATACCAAGGTCACTTGGCCTGAGGTAGTACAGTAGAAAGAAAGGATGTGGACATATTTTAATATGGGGAGATAAAATGACTCTATTTGGTGATGCCTGGACATAAAGGATGAGGCAGAGGGATCTGTAAGGGATGACTGGTAATGGAATTATTGAGACAGAACACTATAATTAAGGTCTGTGTGGTTTGTTATTGCTATTGTTGTTTTAGAGAAAGAGATGGATAGGTGTGAGCAGAAGATCATGAATTTAGTCTTAAACATATTGCATTTGAGGTCTCCCTGAGATCTCAAAACGGAAATGATACATTGTCTGCAGCTTAAAGGAAAAGCCCGAGCTAGAGATATATAACTAGTAATGTCTGAATGTATTAAATCTACTATCTTGGAGAGTATTCCAGAGAAAGGCAAAAGCCGAGGCATCCTTTAGAGCACAGTGACCATAGCTGTGGCCAACCATTTATGAGAATCTTAGGAGTAAGAAAACTGTATTCCATTTAATTCTGGTTGCATGTTGCCCATTCAACAAACATTTACTGTGTAAGTGTGCCAGTAACTATACATTTGTACTCTAGATGCAAAGAATACAACATGGTTGTCATAATTTTTTTTTAAAAAGTCTAATAGGAAAGGCAGACAATAAAGCAAGTAATTTCAGTGTGTTATGATAAGTGCTATAAGAGAAATGTACACAGCCCTCACAGGAAATCCCACAGAGAAAGGAGGACCTAACTATACTTGAAGGTGGGTTCACAAAGGGCTAAGCAGAGGTGATGTTTGACCTGAGATAAATCATAAAAAATACGTGGAATGTTCCAGAAAAGCAAGGAGGTATGCAAGAAGGGACATTCTGAGCATGATACCCATATGGAGATTACTTGGATATAAATTTTTAAAAGGAAAGATCCTATGAACATCACACAACCATCTCAAGAAATGATTCAATTACATGAGGTATGTTTTAAAGACTTCAAGTAAGAGTAAGTATAAGGAGATTAGGGTAAAGAGTGAGCCAGACCTGCCAATCCAAATGCTCTATCATTCTTAATTATTCTAGCCTCATAATTGTGCTGCCTCTGTTCTCTGACCTCAGTTCTTTTTCTAGCCTTGCTCCCATCATGAAATTCTGCTCCATTTCAATCATACCTATATCTATTTTGTGTCTGGAACAACAGTAAGGATTAAATAGTCCCTCAAATGCCACCAAGGCATTTAAAAGGCATGGCTACAAACTTTTTGACATGCTTACGACGTAGGTGATGTTTAAAGTCCCTCCTTCTTGAATCTGGATAGGGCTTTTGACCATGTGAGCACTTCAGCTGATCAAGGATGGTAGAAGTGATATTTTGACTTCTGAGGATAGGTCATAAAAGCTTCTGCCTTGCTTGTTAGAATACTAGCTCTTAAACTCCTCAGCTGCTATGTTAAATGTATGTGACTTTCCTGAGGCTGCCATGCTGGGATGAAGCCCAGCCCATATGGACAGCCTATTAGGTGAACACTCCTGTGACACTCCCCACTTAGTCTAGCCTTCAAATCATCCAACCCAGAAGTGCCATGACCAAGCAGTGACCAAGCAACCTCCAAATTATTCCAGGCCCAATTCAAGTCATCCTTCCTGAGGCCCTGATACTCTGAACCAAAGACATCCATCCCTGCTGACACCTGCTTGAATTTCCTACCCAAAAAGTGAGCAAAATACAAAAAAAAAATTTTTTTCTGGAATTGGGGATCAAACTCAGGACCTTGCACTTGCTAGGCAGGCACTGGTGCCACTGAGCTAAACTGCCATCCCAAGCAAAATAAAATGAACTGTTGTTTTATGACACTGTGCTTTGGGATAGTTTATTACAGAGTAGATAACTGGAACAACTCCCCACCCCTGCCTCATTTTTTTCATAACTATTTTTATTATCAAATAGAACATATTTTATTTATAATTTGGTTTATTTTCTGTCTCTGCCTCTATCTTACTAAAGTATAAGATCCACAAAGACAAGTAGTTTTGTCTTTTTGTTTATTGCCTTAGTTCCAAAATTTAGAAGAAAGCCCAGCATATTGTAATCAAAGTGCAAATAATAATAGGATGAATGAAATTAGAGACCGATAGAGCATAGACACACAAAGTTCTGTTACGTAATTACTTTGCAACATGAAACTATTACTAATCTGCAGTTGGCATAAAAATAGAATTTTCATTAAAAACAGGACCAAACCCATAATAAGGTTATTATATGATTTTTATTACATTCAGAATGAAATAAGCTAACTGAAATTTTTTATTCTCTAAAATACTGAGTCAAAAAATCTATATTTTCACAAAATAGCACTAATATGCTATATCTACCAATAGATCCTGGTAGAAGTTCATTATAACAACAAACTTACTATTCTGGGGACCCAAGTGAGGGCAGTACCACCTTGTTTGAATTTCATCTGAACCAAAGGAGTTTTGCTAGCAAAATCATAGATTCGAACAGAGCCTATAAAAAGACAATTTTAAAAGAAACAAATTATATACATAATATCTCTTGAAATAATATTGGCTCACTTCTTACATATTATTACAAGAAATTTCATAAATAATTAAATTGATAATCCAACAGCCTTTCATTAGTCAAAACTTTCCATGTATGTCTTCAAACAGGTAATTTACAAATATGAGTAATAAAGAAGACAAATGATGATTGGTAAATCACCTTCACCTTGCCCAGCCCACATAGATTTGCTGGAAATCATGAAGGAGGAAAGGCAATTGAAAGAATAGGAAGAACATAAATGTGGATGGTATCAAGATGAAGAGCATTTTCATGGACAACTTATAGATTATATCCTTATTTTAATTTCTCACAATAACCATGGATGCTGGATTTTGTGCCCTGTCCACTGTACAATTCACCTCATTTGCTTTAAGGGGCTTCCCTTTTGGAAAAATTCTCAAATGCTTTTAATCAAACACATTTAAAAATTATATTGGAAATAAGATAAAACAAGGCCAAATATATTTTCATCAAGAGCTCCCACTTACAGTCCAAGGCAGTAGTGGCCATAAGATAAGTGACAGGAGAAACAGCTAGGGCTTCAATAGCTCCACAATGGAAGGAGAAGAGGCATTCTGGATCCTGGGTCTGAGGACAGACAAACTGTATCATATCTCAAAGACAGGGTAACATAGAATTAAGGTCAAGTTTAAGAACTGCACCTAGAACCTGACACATGTGTGATTTTATTTGAACAGAAGTAAGAAATAGAACAGGTTAGAAAGAGCACCGAACTTTGGAATTAGGAGTCCTGCCTTTGCACTTAATTAATTACTGTAGTTTTGCACAAGTCACTTAAATGCCAATTTGCATTGCTTCATTTGTAATATGAGATGATGCATGCCTACTAAATGGGATAGCTGTGAGGATCACATGAGATAGTATAAATAAAAATTCTATATGTTTGTGAAAAGTGCATTGGTTGTACAATGAGATAGATCCCTTTTAAATCTGATGTTAACAATGACCTAATATGGTGAAAGATAAAGTATCTTCAAAGAATGGCAAAATTTTTTACTATGTAAAGTAGAGGAAAATGAAAAAAAGAGGCAACTTACAATATTTGAAAAACTAAGGTCAAGTTTCCAAATGGCTCCACTGGCATCCTAAAAATAAAAAACAGCTAATAATATTTTATTTTATCATTTTGAACTTTCATCAAATAAAATATTTTTCTTCCTGCAATTTAAAGCAAGCACAAACAATAATATCAAAATCATACATATTTTAAAAGTATGATTGATATTTGGTAATTTCTATTTATCTTAGAATATAATCAAACAATAAGCAAATCTTTAGTCAAATGGGCTTCCAGTCAAACACATTTATAATACTTACAGTCCAATAGACTTCTAGTCCAGATAACTGTTTATCATTATTATCATTATTATTTAAATTTTATGTCCAGGTAACTTTAAAGAGCCAAGAGAGAAGAATTTAACTTACCTGAGCCAACCAAAAGTTATTTCCAATTTCATTCATTTTTATCATAGAGAAGAGATTGACATTCTTGCCTACTTGAAGTTCATTAATGGGTTCAATCTCCAATAATCCAGTTTCATCTATAATATCAGCACTGTCTATTGTCTCAAAGTCCCATATCTTGTAAAATTAATAAGAAAATACTTCAATCAATCAGTGGTTTCTTTTGTTTTCTAAGATAGAAAACGCTCTGCTTTTTCAAAAGTCATTTCTTCTTGTTTCATAAACATTAACAGTGAGTAGAAATAGCTATAACACCAGCCAAAACCCAAACCCTGGTATTTTACTCTGATCTGAAGTATAAGGAATTATTTGTAGTTTTCTTTGTAGAGATCAGTAGCAAAGTAATGGCTTGCCTAAAATAAGCTCTATTTCAAGATTTCTAATAGTTCTTTCTTCATATAATGTACCCATAAGGAGTAAATGATTTAGTGCAACAAGATATGATAATGAGACTTGTTACCCACTGGAAGGGGAAATATACCTTCTTGCTTAATGATTCAAGCATTACCTCAATTATAATCAGAGCAAATAGATGTAGTTGATGACTCCATTAGAAAATGTTTCTCTTCCTTAGTGTCAATTTATATTCTGCTATCTCAGTAAAGGAGCTCTGTTCCTTAGAGGAAGGGTCCAGACACTCTGGGAAGAATGAGGGAGCGGTTTCACCTCCCATGGCAGACTCAGAAGGACTTCTATGACATGCCAAAGCCCACTCTAGGCAGATCTGCTGACATATCTGCCACATTATCCTAGACTGACTGACTCGGACTTTGGGAAAGCATATGCTGGGAGATTGTTGTTGCCCCATGGATAAGCCTGGTGGGGTGAAAAGGGTCAGTTCCTAGGAGGAGACAAATCCCCAGGATTGGGGATAGGTTTTTCCTAAAGGGCAAAAGGTAGAAATTTACAACTTGAAGGGCTAAAGAGGTGAGTTTAGCCTTTGAAAAGGGAAGTAAGTTTAGAAATTAATGTTGTCCATGAAGGGATCCTCTATGAAATGTTTCACTTCTTTTCTCTTGAGGTTTTTCTCCCATTTGGTATGTGGATGTTTTGGGATGACCTATCTTGGAAGGATTAGTGAACATTTTTATGGCAAAATAAAGGACATGAAAGATCCTCAGAGTAATGTCTGAGATCTAACATGATCAAACATAATACTGTAAATGGAAAAACGTACACTTGGGTTCAAAAATCTTGTGGTAAGAAGACCCATGGAGGATAATTTGGCTTAAGCAATGTATTAGGTACAGTAAACTCAGAAAATGTCAACTGGGTGACCAGACTTTTTTTTTTTTGGCACTGGGGATTGAACTCTGGACCTTGCGCTTGAGAGGCAGGTGGCAGAACCACTGAGCTAAATCCCTGGCCCCAGGCTATTTTTTTGTAATGCAATCTTATTTCTAAACACAATTAAAGTATGTCAATAAACTACTACCACTTTCTTTTGAAAGGTCCCAAAAAGAATATGTACTAAGTAGATGACAAAGCAAGTCAGTTTGGTGAGCAACAGTGTGGTATATATTCACAGAAGATGCCACACAAAATATGATAGAATAGCAACCAATAGAACTTAAATGTGGGGCAATATTGCAGCTTAGTGTAGGCCAGTGGGGGAGAACTTATAGCATGTGTGCTACATGTTTATTATCATTGAAAGCTCTAAAAGGTTCACCATCACTGGTCTAGGCTTTAATCAGTGCAGTCCACAAGTAAAAGTATTTCAGTTCCTTAGTGTAAGAAGCAAGGAGAGGGTAGCATCCACAAGAAAACCCTATCAGCTCAACTTTGAGTGTGTTTCCAATTGGTATCCCTAGTAAAAGATAACATGTACTCAAACATCTGTCCATAGAAAGTGACTGATTCATAGCAGAAATCTTGGAAAACCATGTGTGCCCACAGTTTACACTATGCTAACATGGACTTTCATTTCCTGAAGCTATTATTTCAACAAATGGATCAAAAGAACAAGAGGTGCTCTCAGAAAGTTTCAGTGCTAAGATGCGGTAAACTAATTTCAATAAGAAAGCAAATATTTACCAGATGAGAAGCATTATTCAAAATGAGTTGGTCTTAGGAGTACATGACCTTTATCCTTCTTCATGAAGTAATCTTTATATGAAATTAAAACCTGACAAAGCAACTTGGATGATCTGTAAGTCTTAGATATGGGTACTACTCCTTACATATCAAGAAAACTTACCCTAACACAGCCATCTGACCCAGCAGTGATAACCTCACCCTCATCCAGCATTATCTGGTTGATGGGACCGTTGTGACAGGACTTCATGCCACTTCGGCATAGCTCCACTTTGATGAGGCTGCCTTCCCAAAGCAGCA